GACCATCTGCAAGAATGGTGTCTGTTTTGTATTAAACCTGTTTCTTCTCTGCACTCCTGTCACTTTAACCCCTGTATCACAACCCAACTTTGAATTCTATGTGCGTCTTTTCTCAGAAATGCTTTAGACTTGAGAAAGGGAGGTACTCCCGAAAGCTTGTCATTACAAGATTCTGTTAGTCCAATATTATTACAAGATACAAATTTTATCTAAATCTATGAGATTATAATTTAATCCAATTTTCCAGTGTATTTTAACTCCCACTTATCAAATCCCTTTTACTACTAAAGTTAAATCTACAGAAAGTCATCTGCTACAGTAAATGTGAACCAGAGACTGTGAATACTTGCAGATTCCATCCTTAGATTACAGTGTCGCTGTAGCAGGTGCAGAACACAGGGCTAAGTGATAAATCAATCATTTATGTTTGTGTAAAGCTGTTCTGTGACTTGTCCTGCTCTGTGAACTCTATGGTTTGGTAAAAGGGAGCTGTCTGTTGACTGTAACTCCTTTCTATGTTGATTTTACTGTGACCTCACAAGTTACCTTGCTTTCGATCTGCTCTGAATTTAAAGTGCACTTGTCATACAAACAGCTCAGTTTAGATCCAACAGTAAAAATAATGGAGTTTGCTTTATGTGCACAAATGTGGTGCAGACTTAACATGTAATTCTGGATTATTATTAAAGTCTCCCTGGACTTTTTGCACAATTCATCCATTCAATGTCGAATTATATTGAACTAAAAACCAAATAGCAAAAAGACTTCAGAGTGCTCTCTATTTGACTGGAGATTGCACCGAAGCAATAAAAGACTGGGATATATAGAGAGCGAGACAGAGAGAGAGAGACATAGATAGGGAGAGAGAGAGACATAGATAAATAGGGGTTAGGGGTGCCCAAGGCTCATTGATGCTTGTGGGGAGCGAAGGCGAGTCCGATCACACAGAAGAGCAACTGTAGCTCAAATTGCTCACAAATTTAATGCTGGCCATGATAGAAAGGTGTCAGAACGCACAGTGCATCATAGTTTGCTATGTATGGGGCTGCGTAGCAGCAGCCTGGTCAGAGTCCTCATGATGACACCTGTCTGCCGCCAAAAGCACCTTTAATGGGGACAGTGTGCTGGTGGAGGCAGTGTTATGCTCTTGGCAATGCTCTGCTGACTAACCTTGGATCCTGTCATTCATGTGGATGTTAGTTGGACACATACCTGTAGAAAGGTGTCAGAACACACAGTGCATCACAGTTTGTTGCGTATGGGGCAGTCCCCTGTCCACCACTGAAAGCACCTTCAATGAGGACGTTAGCATCAGAACTGCACCATCGAGCATGGAAGATGGTTTTCTGGTCTGTTCAAACACGTTTTTTTTTTTAGATCAGGTGGATGGCTGGGTACATGTGCATTGTTTACCTGAGGAAGAGATGGCAGCAGGATGCACTACGGGAGGAAGTCAGTCTGGTGGAGACAATGTTATCCTCTGGGCAATGTTCCGCTGGGAAACCTTGGGTCTTGGCAGTCATGTGGATGTTACTTTGACACGTACCACCTAGATAGAGATTGTTGCAGACAACAAGCACCACTTCATGGCAATGGTGTTCCTTGATGGCAATTGCCTCTTTCCGCAGGGTGAGGCTGCCTGCCATACTGCAAAAATTGTTCAGGAGCGGTTTGAGGAACATGACAAAGAGTTTAAATTGTTGCCTTGGCCTCTAAATTTCCCAGATCTCAATCCTATTGAACATCTGTGGGATGCACTGGAACAATCCATGGAGGCCCCACCTGGCACTTTGCAGGACTTAAATGATCTGCTTCTTATCTCAGTATCAGAAACTACAGTACATGTCAGTACATAGTACAGAGGTCTTGTGGGGTCCATGGCCAAATACATCAGAGCTTTTTTG